AAAGTCGGCAGAACTCAAAGGAAGGAGGCAGAAAATGAAATTTTGAAGATGATGATATAGGTTTTCAAAGCTCTTTCCAACACCAGGTCCTTCAGGAAAACTATAGAAAAGATAGTAAATGAGTTAACACAAATAGAGAACAGATAAAATTTCAGAGGAGAAAAAAAAAAAAAAAAAAAGGAAGCCAAACAATCACAACAGAAATTAACAGTAGCCAGGCTGAAAATGGTAGCCATCTTCCCTGATGTGGTGAATCCCCTTGTTATCCCTGCCAACAAAAAAGACTTTAAAACCACTTGAGCCCCATTAACAGTAGACACTATAAACTCACTTTGAATAAAAAGATTCAATGTATATTCGCCATTATTTTAAATTACCAAACCAGGATATAGTTTGATTACAGTGATCATAGTTCTATAAACCATTACATTAATAGTGATCCTGGGTGGCTCAGTCAGTTAAGTGTCTGCCTTCGGCTCAGGTCATGGTCTCAGGGTCCTGGGATCGAGTCCCGCATCAGGCTCCCTGCTCGGCCAGGAGCCTGCTTCTCCCTCTCCCACTCCCCCTGCTTGTGTTCCCTCTCTCGCTGTGTCTCTGTCAAATAAATAAAATAAAATCTTTAAAAAAAAAGGAAATACACTTAAGGGAAGTCCATCTAGGTCTTGGCTAGCTGGCTAGTCTGTTATTAGGAGTTCAGACTCTAAATATTATCCTGATTTTTATTTTACATTTGATATTTCAGCCTTAAAATATCTTCATCCTAATGAATACTATTTCTCTATTTTTATTTAACAAGTAAAATTTAAAATCTCCCATAAACTTGTAATGCTGAGTTCTTAATAGGCTCCTTAGGATTATATTACTATTTCCATCTTTATTTTTTTTTAATATTTTATTTATTTTTTTGAGAGAGACAGAGCACAAGAGGGGAGAGGGTCAGAGGGAGAAGCAGACTCCCTGATGAGCAGGAAGCCCGATGCGGGGCTCGATCCCAGGACTCCAGGATCATGACCTGAGCCCAAGGCAGTTGCTTAACCAACTGAGCCACCCCGGCGCCCCGCTATTTCCATCTTTAAACTTTCATGGTATTTTAAACAAATTTTAATACAAGAATCTGTGTCACTTTAGTCAACAAAAATTTAAGGCGTACATTTATGTCCTACTTTGCTAGCTGCTAGCAATACAATCAGATTCTGACAGATTATTTTCACAATGCAAATTTGTCAAATTTATTTATTTCCATTTTTCCGATTTATTTTGCAAATAAAGTTATCCTCACAGAAATCCCTTTTTCTGTAGATTTTAAACACATGTTCATATAGTCACCTAACTTCTTTGTGTGGAAAATACCACTTTTTTTCTCTTGCCTTACCAGCAATGATTTCCTGTACTGAATCTCCACCCATGAATTTCTCATCCTCCTTCAACCTGCCTTTAAAAAGAAATACGGGGGGCACCTGGGTGGCTCAGTCATTAAGCGTCTGCCTTCGGCTCAGGTCATGATCACAGGGTCCTGGGATCGAGCCCCGCATCGGGCTCCCTGCTCTGCGGGAGGCCTGCTTCTCCCTCTCCCACTCCCCCTGCTTGTGTTCCCTCCCTCACTGTGTCTCTCTCTGTCAAATAAATAAATAAAATCTTTAAAAAAAAAAAAGAATACGGTGGGGCGCCTGGGTGGCTCAGTCAGTTAAGTGTCTGCCTTCGGCTCAGGTCATGATCCCAGGGTCCTGGGATTGAGTCCCGCACCAGGCTCCCTGCTCAGCGGGGAGTCTGCTCCTCCCTCTCCCTCTGTCTGTGCCCCTCTGCCCCCACCCCTACATTCATGTGGGCTCTCGCGCTCTCTCTTAAATAAATAAAATATTAAAAAAAAAAAAAAAGAAAAGGAACATGGTCATCTAGGGCTAAAGACCTGGTAGAGGAAACATGTAATAGCTAAAATAACAGCAATAGTTTCCAGATATTGTATTCTAACTAAGCACTGGGAACTTAATCCCACCCATTTTTTCAGTTACTCCATGAGATGTTATTTTCACATCACATGAGAAAATGAGGTTCAGAACAATTTCTATGTTTAAATTCATACTAGTTTCTACTCCTGAAATTAATATTACAGTATCCTTTAACTAACTGGAATTTAAATAAGAACTTGAAATAAAAAAAATAAATTCATACAACTAGTAAGAGCTAGAACTGGGATTTGAATCCAGGTCTGTAGGATTCCCAAGTCTATGATTAGATGCTATATTTGATAAACATGAATGATCTCTTCTTTCCATTTGTATTCAGTAAAAGTGGCAGAAAGAACAAGAAATGGCTGAGTATTCTGTTCTTTGGATATGGCTGAAGGAAACTTTTTTTTTTTTGGTTCTTTTATTTTTTTTTTTTTTTTTAAGATTTTATTTATTTGAGAGAGAGTACGAGAGAGAGCAGGGGCGGGGGGGGGGGGGAGCAAGGCAGAGGGAGAAGCAGGCTTCCCGCAGAGCAGGGAGCCCAATGCGGGGGGCTCAATCCCAGGATCCTGGGATTGTGACCTGAACCAAAGGCAGACGCTTAACGACTGAGCCACCCAGGTGCCCCTGGACGATTTACTCTTGGCCAGATAGTCTGTGTGGTGTCTTTCCCCCAAAACAGCTCTATGACTGTGGATATGATCCCACAGTGACAGCTAGTGGAGCCAGGTGTCAAACCCAAGTCTGAATGACTCTAACCCTATGACTCTCCTCCATCCTACACTGCCCAGGGCAGTGGCACCGTGAGAGTGGGAAGCGGCTGTGCAACCTGCCCCTTAAGAGAAGATCACCTCAGTGCTTCCCACAGCAACAGCATCATTGCCCTGAATGTTTCCAACTGGCTAGTCTAACTGTGCAGTGCCTTGGAATGAGGTCATTTTTTCATAGAATTCTTATTAGTGACTTGAGTTGCAAGTTTTCAGGGCTTTGCTTTTCAACTGCTAACTATAATACTGGTAATGTGATTAAAACCTACCTGCAGAACCATGCTCATGGAAGAATTATCATTAAAATGTCCATACTATCCAAAGCAGACTACAGACTCAATGCAAACCCTATAAAAACACATTTTCACAGAAGTAGAACAAATAATCTTAAAATTGGTATGGAACCACAAAAGACCTTGAATAGACAAAGTAGTCTTGAGAGAGAGCCACACAGTGGAGGTATTACAATCCCAGATTTCAAGATATACGACAAAGCCGAAGTAACCAAAACAGTCTGGTAGTGGCCCAAAAACAGACACATAGATCAAAGGAACAGAATAGAGCCCAGAAATAAACCCATGATTATATGGTCAACAAAGGAGGTAATAATATCCAATGGGGAAAAGACAGTCTCTTCAACAAATCGTGTTGAGAAAATGGGACAGCTACATGTCAAAGAAAAAAACTGGACCACTTTCTTACACCATACACAAAAATAAACTCAAAATGGATTAAAGACCTAAATGTGAGACCTAAAACCGTTAAACTCCTAAAAGAAAACACAGGCAGTAATCTCTTGGACATCAGCCTTAGCAACATATTTATGCATATGTCTCCGCAGGCAAAAGAAACAAAAGCAAAACTAAACCATTGGGACGACACCAAAATAAAAAGCTTTTGCACAGCAAATGAAACCATCAATAAAACAAAAAGGCTACCTAGCGAATGGCAGAAGATATTTGAGAACTATCTGATAAGGGGTTAATATCCAAATATATATGAAACACACAACACCAGAAAAACAAACAATCCAATTAAAAAATGGGCAGAAGTGAATATTTTTTCAAAGAAAACACACAGATGGCCAGCAGGCACATGAAAAGATGCTCAACATCACTCATCATCAGGGAAATGCAAATCAAAACCACAATGAGATACCACCTCATACCTGGAAGTGTCTAGAATCAGAGACAAGAAACAACAAGTGTTGGCAAGGATGTAGAGAAAAGGCAACTGTTGGTGGGAATGTAAATTAATGCAGCCACTGGAGAAAACAGTATGCAGTTTACTTAAAAAATTAAAAACAGAAATACCATATAATCCAGTAACGACACCACTACTGCGTATTTACCCACAGAAAACAAAAATACTAATTTGAAAACATATGTACCCATGTTTATTGCCACATTATTTCTAATAGCCAAGTTATGGAAACACCCCAAGTGTCCATCCATAGATGAATGGATAAAGAAGATGTGGTGTGTACACACACACACACACACACACACAGTAATACTCAACCATGAAAAAAGAATGAGATCTTGCCATTTACAAGAACATGGATGGAGCTAGAGGGTATTGTGCTAAGTGAAATGAGTTAGAAAGCCAAAGACCACATAATTTGACTTATTTGTAGCACCTAAAAAATAAATGAACAAACAACCAAAAAAATAATAATAATAAAGGCCCCAAACAGACTCCTTAATACAGGGAACTAACTGATGGTTGCAAGAGGAGCGGTGATTGGGGGGATGGGCGAAATAGATAAAGGAGATTAAGAGGTACCAATGTTCAGTTACAAAATAAGTCACAGGAATGAAAAGTACAGCATAGAGAATATAGTCAATAATATCGTGTGTGTGTGTTTTTTTTAAGATTTTATTTACTGATTCATGAGAGACAGAATGAGAGAGAGAGAGGCAGAGGGAGAAGCAGGCTCCCAAGGAGCAGCGAGCCCGATGCGGGACTCGATCCCAGGACCCTGGGATCACGACCTGAGCCGAAGGCAGACGCCCAGCCATCTGAGCCACCCAGGCGCCCTCATGTGTGTTTTTTTTAAAGATTTATTTATCTGAGAGAGAGACAGAGAATGCACATAAGTGGGAGGGGCAGAGGAAGAGGGAGAGAGAAACCCAAGCAGACTCTGTGCTGGTAGTGGAGCCTGAGGCGGGGCTCAATCTCATGACCCTGAGATCACAACCTGAGCCAAAACCAAGAGTTGGCTGCTTAACTGGCAGCACCACCCAGGCGCCCCCAATGATATTGTTAAAAACAAAACAAAACCTACCTGCAGAAACCTAGGACAGAGATGGTTTGGTTCAATGCCAACATAGATATGCAGCAACTCCAGGAGGGAAATGGATTGGCAAAGGCGCATCACAAGACCAATAGCATAAAACGTGTCAACCATGGAATCTGCATCCAGGGAATTAAAAATAGATACAGTAAGTAAAAATTAGGTCACAACCCAAATCTATGCAGCACTTTGAAATAAAAATTGTGATTATTTACTTTTTTCATTGTACATGTGAGAAATTTCCTAACAGCTACTAAATTATTAAGAATACTATGCAACCCGGTGCCTGGGTGGCTCAGTTGGTTGAGTGACTGCCTTCAGCTCAGGTCATGATCCTGGAGTCCCGGGATCAAGTCCCACATCGGGCTCCCTGCTTGGCGGGGAGTCTGCTTCTCCCTCTGACCCTCCCACCTCTCATGCTCTCTCTCTCTCTCAAACAAATAAAATCTTAAAAAAAAAAAAAGAATACTCTGCAACCAAAGAAAGCACTTCATATTATAGTCTATCTTAATTGCTCCTCTTCTAAAAAAGAAGTAAAAATTTGAAAAAGGCGGCCCATGGCCAAAGCTATAGTATTTATTCTCTATATATAATTCCCCATATATGTTATAAAGCAATTCCCGCACAAAAGTAACCCAGTAGAATCTAGACTCTATCAACTGTAAACAGGTTGGAGAGAAGCTTATTAAAGAAGCTGGCGTGCTCACACCTTTTTGACAAGACAATGACAAAGATGAGAAAAATATGATTCTAGAGAAGCTTTATGGAAAGGACATTATAATGTCATGTTTAATAACATCTTATTTGCGTCTTACACATACTTGGTTAGTGCCTTCTAGACCTTGGTTAGAACCTGGGCCTTTGGTGGGGACTTTTGGAGATTGCATTGCAGAGAGCCCACACTGCATTTGGAAAGAACTGAAATAGGAGAGAAACAACTATTCCTCTAAATAGGATAAATCTGTTGGTTTAAATTTTAAAATGAAATCCCACCATGTTAAGAAACATCTCCGGAAGATTTGGCTGTCTTTCCTGCCCAGGGATCATCCACATGATGATAATTTATGGAGCACTAAGGGTTTCTCTTCTCAACAGCTCTAGCAGGTGAGCACTATTAGCATCATCCCCATTTCACAGATGGTTCCCGAGGTGCTCTCATCCACTGCCCGGCACTTGCTACAACAGAGCATTGTCAGTTACATAGCGCTGTGATGGGGAAGGTAGCAGGCGTTACTCTTCAGGTGATGAGATTGCTACTAAGCTACTTAATTTATACATTGACTCGGGAATTGTACTGAACTCCCACTTAGTTGTTTTCAGTCTGCTTTCCATACGAATGGTTGTGTTGCTTTAATAAGAGGCTTCTCCAATTATAACAGTAGGATAATAATTAAGAAATAAACACACTGCTGACTAAAGCAATTTTTCCCACTGGAAAGGCCTGGCAGGATAAGAAAGAGTTCATTGCTTGCAACTCTTGGCGTGAATGACTTGTAATATGCCCACAAAGCCTCAGCTAACTTTCAAGGCCTAGAAGTGTTGGTTTTTTCCTATAAACATGCAGGGAAGTTTTCTCACCACTCATGTTTTCCTCTGCTTGAAAACTCGCAACATTCATAGTTGAAATTCAAGCCTTAGATTGTATCTTTGGAGGTTGCTGAGTGCAAGAATTTAACTGCAGATTCGCAGTAATAAAAAGCAACCTAAAATAGTTATGGTACCTCGGAATTAGATTAACTTCCTTATGATACAGAAGTCTAAATTGATGAACACAGCATGACTTTTCCCGGGGAATATTCTGTGTGTTTGTTTCTAGCTGAAACTAGCAGTTGCTCAAACTGTCAAGTCATCCAACAGTTGTAAACTGTGATGACACCCATGTGGGGATGGAACATGAAAAGAATGTTATTTTGACAGTCACTTAGTGATTCATTTCTTAAAAATTGAAATGCTAGTTAAAATATTTACTTTTTAGAAAACTGGAGGAAACATGACTTTAACCATTAATACCAACTCCCATATAGACGGTGAGTCATCTCTAAGGTTTGTCATTTACTTAGGGACACATTACTTCTTAAGGGGACCAAAGAGAACCCTGGGGTCTATACAGTTTGTCTTTCACTTACTGGTAGTCTCCAGTTATCTTAAGCCTGGGGAATAAAAAAAAGCAAGGGAAGAATTTGGTTAATTCCTGAGTTCTCTGCACAAAATGTTATACTGGAATTTACAGATTTCCTCAAAACCCACCAAGTCTGCGAAGGTCTGCTGCAGAACCAAAAAGGAAGAGTCAGACAGAACCACCCCAATGCCACGTCTGTGTTTTCAGGGCAAACTGCCTAGTCAGAGGGAAGCCAAGTCCCTGTCCATCTCGCCTGCCCCCTTCTCCAAAAAGGTTTTGGTTTTTGCAATGAGCAAAAAGTAAGGTTACTGAAAAATATGGCTACTAAATTTCAGAGCAGTGAAGGATATTAGGTGATGTTCACAGAAGTTGAAAAACTAACACAAGCAGGACTAGGTGAAAACAAGAATTGAAAGTTAAAAATCCAAAAACGGTTTTTGAAGTTTTACCTTCTCCAAATGAAAAGAACCGCACTGTCATATTGGTAAATATCCATGAGTGGCCACAGAACTGGATTAAGTAATAGATGAAAAGATAGGTGTTCTTTCTATACCTATAAATACAGGAAAATACCATGAAATACTTCCTTCATGATAATCTTTTCGGCATTACACACACATCTTTTAACTAACCTATTGGCCCACCTGAGCAAGAGAAAACCATTCCACATCAGAGTCTTTTATTTGGTTACCTCTGTAATGCATATCAGATTTTGAAAGGACCCACAGCACACATTATCTGCTAAAAGGAGTATCCTGAGTTTGCTTAAAGCCAAATATGGCTCGATTTTAAAATTCACTTTCAGCTGAGGAAGTTCTAACCTTGTTCTCATGAAGGGCTAAAGTAAGAATTGCAAAGATGGCTTTGAATATTAAAAAAAAAAAAAAAACGATGGTGAGGGCTTGACGTGCTCAATGTGTTCCTGCAACTCAGCCTACTAAGTGCAAACGCTGAGATGACTGGTTTATAGTTACAAGAGGGGAGTAGTGGTGGTACTTCCCAATGGTGGATGATTCAGTAGTTGGCCATACCTGACTTGTGAATGCATTCTGTGATGGGGGTTAGTACCTCACCACTGCCTATTACATTTGCAAGGGCAGACCGTTTCCGTCACCAGACACACATAGAAAGCAGTTTAGTGGCTCAGGCCAGAAAAGGGAAGTCAAGCTGGGTTTATAACTGGGTTGCCGGGGAGATGACTAAGGGATGATTGACAGATACACAGTGTGAGGTAGTTAGGAAAAGCATTGTTTGAAGTGTGCCCTGGGGGATTCAGAAGGGTGGTGGGAGGGGCCCTGCCAGTACAGACAAGGATTTCTCCACTATAGTCGGAGTTGTGACACCTCTGAGAAGGCAAATAAGCAGGAAGCAGATACAGTACAGCTTGTAGACAGGCACCCTACACATGATGTGAACTACTAAGAGGAGTGGGCGGAAGGAGGCCCTCCTTAAACCTGCATCAGAATCACCCGGCGTGTTGGTTAAACATACACATCTCCAGGTCCACTGAACTGGGCTCTGGCGTCCACACCCCGATACCACTGAACTGGGCTCTGGAATGTACACATGCGACAGTGTTTCTGCAGCTGGTAGATCTAAACCCCACCCTGCGACACCGGGTCCGAGAAAGTGGAGGAGAGGACGCCTGGTGGGCAGAAGGGGAAGGAAAAGAGCACTGGCAGAGCGTGCACAAAACGAAGGGGTGGCGGCGTAGCCTGTCCTTCCCATTTCCTCGTCTGGAGATGGGGGTAATAGAGCCTTCCTCCTAGGACTGGCGAGAGAACTGAAAACTAGCTAATGCCTGTCCAAAGTTCAAGGGTGCGCGGGGTTCAGGGTTGCGCAGCGTCGCGCCGCCTGGAGCCCGCCCAGCTGGCTGCGGGCGTGAGGGGGGGGGACCCCGCCCCTGGCGCCCCACCCCCCGCACCCCTCGCCTCCCGCCACGGGCCGGGCGCCCTACCTGGGGTGCAGCCAGGCGGGCAGCGCCATGGCTTTCGTGGGCCGCCGCCGGGCCCTCCAGCGCCGTCAGGGTGGGAGCGCCCTCCGGGGAGCGCGGGAGGGGCGGCCCCCGCGGCCAAGCCCCGGCCCGGAAAGGCGGGGCCTCTCCCCACTCAGCAATTTACAAAAAAAAAAAACACCCAACTAAGGTCGAGCTTTGGGAAGGAGACGAAAGCCAAGTTCCTGAAGTTCCTGCCGCGGCGAGAGCGCGCCGCACCACGAATGCCAGACCCCGCGCGGCACGTGCGCGAGGCTGGGCTGGGCAACGCGCCCGCGGGTTCACGAAGCCCCTTGCCAGGGCTTCCTCATCTTTGCATTGACACTCCGTTGCAGCCGCGTGGAAATTAATGGACCCTCCTCCTTAACCTCCAAAAGCTGGCTTGCAGTCACGCCCTCCCTAAGGATGCTTGGGCTCCAAGTGGGCGCCTGCCTCTCTTATTACCCTCACGTGTGAGAGGCGGTCGGCAAGGAAGCGTGTCGGCACACCTTCCCTAACCCCTTCTTTTCAGCTATGGGTCCTGATCCCTCCAGGATCAGGCACCCTTGCCTTCTGACCCTCGCCTGGGCCTTCACACATGCTTCCAAAACCTTTTACTCACGTTGTGTTTTTCTTCCTATCCTATGACCACCCCCTCAGAAAACCTCCTGATCACTGAGGCCTATGGCATCATTGTCTCCTTCATGCTGAGAGGACCCACCTCCTCCTTTGCTGATTACATCCAGACCGCCTTCCAGTTTCTCCGCCCTCTAAGGGAAACATCCCCGAATAAATCCAAAACAAACAAAAAGCCAAGAAAGCACTTGGAAGTAAGCGGGTCGACCACACCTGATTATTGGAGCTGGAAGGCAGTAATGCCCGTTTTACCTAGAGGGAAGCTGTGACATCTGAAAAAATGTTAAGTCACTTGCCACAGTTCGTGCGACTCATGAAGGGCAGTATTAGAACTCCAAGGCTGCAATGTTTTCATGAGGCCATAGGATCCTCCCTAGCAGTCCAGTACGACCTCCCTCCGCAGTGCCCACCCCTCAGGTCTACATTTCTCAGTGTTTTCACCCACTCCTGCCCCCGCCAGAGCGTCATCCCTCCCCTGCATCCACCAGTCCTTCTCAGAATCACTCCATGCATCATTACCAGTGCCTCTTCTCGCACCCTCAACCTCTCCTTTCCACGGGCCTGCATCACAGTGTAGGAACATGTTCAAATCTCTCCTACCCTAGAATTAAACATTTTATTCTTTCTGCTTCTCTTGGTGATCTCGCTCTCTCCCTTTTTCTCCTAACTGCCTGTCTGATGCTTCTTTCATTTCTTATCATCTCCCTGTTTCATCACACCCTGCACTTTGACTGTCCTTCTCAACACCTCCCTGAAACTGCTCTCCCAGGGAGCTGCCTTAATTTCCTGAGTCCTCAACCTATACTCACGGTGTTAGACAACTCTACAGTCCTTGCTCTCTGCGGGCATTTGCTCTAACAGGGAAACGGATACACAAGCAAACATTGGTGGCTAACCTGTCACCAATGCTCAGGCCAAGTCATGAAAGGAAGACAGTCCTGGATGGCCTGGAGTGGGGCAGAAAGACTGCCCAGAGGAAGTGACCCTTTATCACCAAACACAGCCCCTGCGACTCCATCCTTCCCCCCCATCAGCCGCTGCATTTACCACACTTCACACTTCCTCCCTCTCCCTCTGCAGCTCTGCCTGCTCTACTTCTCTCGCCTCTCTCCCCGTCCTCTCTCTTTCTCCCTTCTAGATGGGTCCCCTTCTCCTGCTGTTTCCTCCATCTCATCTTCCCCAGCTCATCTTGCCCTTTGCCACCATGTTATCGCTCCATACAGGCACCCACCACGCACAGCTTTATCTTCACGCAAACAACAGCCGGCTGTATTATCTCCAGCCCCTATTTTTTTTTTTTTTAAATGAATACCAGCTCTGGCCTTTCCACAGCTTCTGGGTATTTCTGCATGAAAAGGCTATTGTAACTTCCAACTGAGCCCATTTGGCGGCATACTGTCTTTCTTCTCAAATCACGGTCTTATTTCCCACAGGGAGACCACCATTTTCCTAGGCATTCAGGCTTAAAATTTGGGAGTCATCATTAAGTCTCCCCATCCAATCAAATTCTGTTGATCCCATCCTTTCCAGATCCCTTACTGATCACTAGCATTCCACTTTGTTATGACCCAGAACCCGAGTAAAAAGGACACAAAAAGAGCTCCCTTTTACTTGCCAGATAAAGGACAAACTACAAGCAAAAAGCTTTTTCAAATCAAGCAGTCAGGGTATTCTACTTGTTTTCCAAGGAGTAAGTGCAGAAGAGAGTGGAGTAGGCAGGTAGGCATTTGGGGTGAGATGCAAAATTCTCCCTTTCCTTTAGCAGAGCCCAGGGCAGGTCCTCTTCAGGTTCTGCCAGCATTACCAAAACAGCCTCCACCAGCCTTCCTGCCTCCTCCCTCTACCCACACTGCCATACATTAGTGGAAGACTACTGGAAGAATTCTTAAAACACAGTCCTGTTCCAGCTAGTCCCCTGGTCAAAATCCCCTGCCGGTTCCTTGTTGCCTGCTACAGTTACATTGTTAGAGTAGGCAGTTAGTTAGGTTTTAACAGGTTGCCTGGAGGCCAGCAAAGGGGAAGTCGAGGCCCTTTATCAGGAAAGTTAGCAACCTGTCCTGGCAGCATTTCACAAACAAAGCCACAAGAAGCCACATCAAACCAGACAGGCCCAAGACAAAGAGGGCCTGAGACCCTGACCAAGTAAGGGAGAAAAGGCACGAAATCCTGCTCCCAAAGAAATCCCCTCCCCAAATAATAAATATTCCACCCCTTAGTTAGCAACTGTCAATACAAGATAGAGACCCGAAACCCAGGGCACAGCTCTCCCTTAGCTGGCCCACTCTCACATCTCATCTCAATCTCAAGAGTGTACCCATCTCTAAGAAACTCTTCACTTGCACTGCTCAACCACTGTCTCGTCCGTCCTTGAATTCCTGTGATGAGACCAAGAGCCTCAGGTGATGTCCGGGGGACAGGCTGGGCGAGAGCCACAGGGCCCAGAGGTCTCCCCAGTTCACCTGGCAACAGCTCATCTTGTCTCCACGTCTGTCACAGGTGCTGACACCTCGAACCATCCTATCCCCCCACCAATTAGAGCAACACTTACTGTTCCCTGGCCACAGCAGGTATTCTGGTCATCATGCCTCTGTGAAACTTTTCTCCTCTATTCTGAATTTCTCTTCCGCCTCTTCCCCGTCTCACAGCCCAGTATTTACTTGTCAAAGTTCTATTCATCCTTTAAAGCTTCCCAGGGCTTCCTCAAGGAGCCACACAGGACTAATAGAGGTCTACGACGGTACCTGTTTTAGGTTTGGTACCTGCCTACTCCACTAGATTACGGATTCCCAGAGGGCGATCTCTTACTAACAGTAAGCATTGGACAAGTTTTCACTTCTCTAAATAAAGTTTCTTTTCCCCAACTACACAACTGTTGGGATTAAATAGGAAAATGTACAAAACATGTAAAATGTATGGTATGATTTTCCTCTCCCAAAATTATAACCCAAATAAAACAAACTTTCAGCAATACTTGCATTTTTGAAATACGTACAGTGGGCTCTCAATTATCTACTTGTACGGATATCAGAGGCCAAGATAGTTCAAATAACTCAAAATAAATATATTGTCTTTTGAAGCAATTTTAACATTATTTGACCATGTCAGTTTTGTTTTTCTTGAGCAAGTGTTTGAATGTGTTTTCATCCCTATGAACACTAGGAGACTAAAGCCTCGAAATATATTTCATAGCCATAACAGACGGACTCGAGATTTTTTTAAACCATGCACAAAAATGACAAAGGATACTATTTCACAATGATCTTTAGAGAAATTAAGTCCAGGTTGAATATCCTGATTTTGGACACTTAACCATCCATCCATTGTATTTGTGGTTTTTTTCCCTCCCATTCCCTGGTAAGCTCATTTTTAAATGCCCATACTCCATGCAATATTCACTGAGAGCAGAGATTCTGGGAAAGTGGCCCATTGCCCACTTTTGCTTCCATTAGCCACAAATGGCTCTATAAGGAACCAGTTATACTCTGATAACTTTCAATTCTCGATTTTTTTTTTTATTTTAACCACCTAGAATTTTCAAGGATCACAACCTCTTTTTCCCCACTCCCGTCCCATAGCACAGATTTGAAATTTCACAGGCTGCTGGACCCAAATAAAATCCTCGAGATTATGTGGTCCAATCTCCTTATTTCACAGGCACCAAAAAGCTAGCGAAAGCTGGGTTGAGAGCGCATTCCACCCCACTGTGCAAAAATTTCAGCGATATTTGCCCCATTCCTTAATCTTACTCAGGCATTAGTCATAGTCCTCTCTTGTAATCTTTGCTTGTACATACTCTCAGCTTCTATTATCACTCTTTTTCAGCTGTTCCAAAGCATTGCTTGCATTTCTCTACTAGAACTTTAACCATCCTTCCTTTAAATAGCTTTGACCCTACTACTCCGTTCGAATGATCAAACCCTGGGGCACCTGGGTGGCTCAGTCCGTTAAGTGTCTGACTCTTGGATTTTGGCTCAGATCATGATCTCAGGTACATGAGATCGAGCCCCTGTCAGAAGGCTGCTTAAGGTTCTCTCCCTCTCCCCACCTTCTCACACTCTCAAAAAAAAAAAAAAAAAAGATCAAAAAAAAAAAAAAAGGAATTTCTGGTTTATTTTGTCTTTATTATAAGCCCCTATATGTTTGTGTTCCTTCTCTCGCTTTGTCTCTCTCTGTCAAATAAATGAATAAAATCCTAAAAAAAAAAAAAAAAAAGATCAAACCCTGGACTGGGATACTTGCCTTGTTGCATCATCATTCCCCGATCTATCCCCTGTCCTATTCCAAGATGAATAGGTTCAAGTGTGTAACTGGCTCATTTGATTACACAGGAGCCATTTTTAGATTGGTTTTTTTATGCCATGGACCCTCTCCTCCTCCACATATCTCACTGAATCCTCAGAGCAATCCTATGAGATGGTAACTATTC